ACCGTAATTTTATAACACGCTGCAAGAGACGGGTAGCTGAACGAAATCGACCTTGGGGTTGATACTAAGGTTCGTATTACAGAATGACAACTAAGTGTCGATCTTTACTTGAGTACAGTTAGAAATGGATGGCGCTATGTGCTATACAGAGCGACATCCCTTTCTAACTGTACTCAAGTAAAGATCAACACTTATTTGTCATTCGGTAATACGGGCCTAAGAGATCGGTGATCCGATCGGTCAATTTCCAGTTCGGCATATCAGCAGTACGACATCAGCTACGTCGTAACAAGAGATAATGTCGATCTTTGAAATCAAAATTTCCGGATTGAAAACGCTAGGTCCATAAACATCACAATTTTTTTTCGCGGCTTGCTTTGCATTTTACCTTTTTTGTAGGAAATTTTTCAAATATATATCTAATTTTTTCATTAGATTCACTCATCTGGACAATTAGCAAAACAAATGAAAGTCACACATATTTTATAAATTGAATATGAAATAATTTTATTTAAAATTTAAACTATTTAATGATACTAAAACCAGCCAGGTACAAATGGTATACTTAGCTAAAAGAGATTTTATTACAAGTTCATACATACTTCATATAATGCGAAAAGACTATTTCCCCAACCTATTACATTGACAAATCTAATATTTATCTAGTACTTGGGTATTATTATTCATTATATTTTTTTAATTAGAATACTAAAATATGTTAACTAAATAGTTAGTTTGAAGGTTGTTAGTTTGACTTCCCTCATACTGAGTTTTTTTATTAGTAATAATAACCCTTTATATTAAAATCTAGCAATAAAATACATAATTAATTTTATTGAAATAGATAATTATCTTCATTGCGAAGTCTGTGAAGCCAGAGTTAGTTCACAGAAATAAATCAAGATTTATTTTATAAGTTGACGACCTCCGTGGCATGAGTGCGAGTGGTATGTACGCTGCCGGGTTCCAAGGTGTCACCTACTCGCCAGGGTGCGAATCCCGGTGGGGCAAAGTTTAGTATGATGAATACGAGCATTGGTACCTATGTCATGGATATTAATATTATGTTTCTAAATGAAAATACTTACATACATATGTTTTATACACAAGCCTTACAGTGCTTTTTTGGGGGGCTAGGCTAATTAGTGTATGAGTTAGAAATATTTATTTATTTATAGGTAAGGATATTTTTTTAAGTAATATACCTCTACATAACGGAAGAGTTTTTTACTTATAAAAATTAAATATTGTGCAAAAATTACATAACTATTGAGTACCTAATTATCTGTAAATGTTTAATTATATAGAGAGTGCTTCTGTACCTGCTTAACTTATTTTTCAGAGATCTAAAGGGAACCTACTACATTTTCTGCTAAAAGGAGTGTTTTATTTTTAGCCGTGAGGAAAAAAATAATAATTACTTATGGCAAATGATAAACGAACGAATGAATAACCTAACCTTATTCGTTGTGCTCTTGTAAATTTGACATTAGTATTACTAATTAGTAGTCGTTATTCGAATAATGATATTAGTATACTACTAATTGGCCTTTCGAATAGCCAAATTAGTAGTTGCGAATTAGTCGAAAGGTAAAATCATTCGGAGTCGCGCATCGCTAATTTACAGGCCTTTAATCTGCTTGGTCACGAATCTATGGATTTACGCACTGTTTACTAGGGAAATTTCGCCACTGCTTGCTCCAATGATTTTTAAAAGACTCAATGTATCCGTGTCGTTTAGAGCAGGCCATGTCCTCTAACACTGACCATAATTTGAAGTCCAAAGGGTTGAGGTCTGGGCTTGGAGAGTCCGGAACGTTGATTTCAAGCCAGGTTTGGGTAGTACGTGCCTTGTGACCAGGTGCATAATCCCGGTGAATAGTCCACGGTATAATTTTTAAAAAGTGTTTTGCTGAGAGGTTTCACAAAATGATCCAAGACTGTCTCCTGATACAGTTTAACCGAAGTTGTCACTCCTTTTTCACAAAAATGTAGTTTTGTGACTCCTTGATAAGACCAAACCGTCACTGATGTGGGATAATGACCACGTTGTACCATTCCGACCACTTGAGCAGCTTCTTAAGAACTGTAAGCGTACACTTTATCATTTTGTTTATTGTAGTGTTCTTCAATCGTGAAAATTTTTTCATCAGTAAATAGAATATTTCTGTGCTTTTCACCTGCGTATCGGGACAGAAGACGTTTTGATCGATCCACTCTCTTTAATTGTAAAGATTGATTTAGAACATGTCCTGTATATCGACGATAAGCACCGAGCGTCAGGTTGTTTTATAATAAGCGACAAAGTCCTAGCGGGAATCTTCATTTCTTGAGATAAGGTTTTTCGCTTCCTAATAGGGTTTCGACGAATTCTGGCTTTAACAACATTATCAGCCTTTGTAGTTCTAACAGCACGCGGCCGTACCGATCAAATGATCGGTGTGATCTTTGACAGACGAAGTGTTGTTGTATCTGTTGATAGTACGATATACGAACATACAGCTGATACCAAGCTTTTGAAATGTCTGGAATATGACCGCCGGGTGGTCCATACCCACTTGGTGCAAGCAGGGCCGTGCCTGGGTATATGGCCGCCTGCGTGCCAGTCTGTATGGCCGCCCCCAGGATAACATTAAAAAAAACTACTTTAATTTTTAATGTTTATTATTATACACAGGGCATCAAACCGGGAAAAAAATCAGTTTTTGGTTAACCGAAATCGAGAACGAAAAAAAATATTGGTTTTGTTCCCAAAACCGGTTTCTGAAAAGAAAAACCGGCTAAAAACCGATTTTATGAGATTTATATGTTTGGATGAAATTTAAGAAAAAAAAATGCACATTTTTTTATTAAAATTTAAACAAAAATAATAACATGAAAAAAATTATGGTATTGGTTTTATAATCACAGACAAAATTATCAAACATAAAGAACAAGGAATAACCCTTAAATCTATACTAACATATTAGGATAACAAAGCTCAGTGGCCAATGGCAGATCTGGGCTGACTTGCAACTTGGGAGGTATACAAAATAGAATTAATTTACTTACTTTAATAATAACATGAAAAAAAGTAATTATGGTATTGGTATTATAATCACAGACAAAATTATCAAACATAAAGAACATAGGAATACGATAATTTAAAATCCTAGGTGTCGCTCAGTGACATTTTAAAATTATTTGATTTTAAAAAATCAAATCTTACGTATTATTTATTGATATTGAAAATAGTAAAGGTTTTTGGTTAATTAACCGGTTTCATAAAATTATTTCGGTTAGGTTACCGGTTAATTAGGGAAATCTTTCAATCTTTCAATTATCACGATTGAAAGTGAAATTGCTGAATCTTCACGAAGCAATTATTAAATAAAGTACATATTAAAAGTTAATCCTACGGGATTTTTTACTGACAAAATCGTCAATTGCTTCGTGAATATTTAAAGATTCAGCAATTTCACTTTCAATCGCGATAATTGAAAGATTGCTCATACGTTCTTGCGTCATGGAAGTACGTAGGTAATTTTTTATGATTTTCAATTTAGAAAAACTACGTTCTCCAGACGCAACTGATACAGGCATGGTCAATAATAGTTTTAAGCTTGTAGATACATTTGGAAATGAATTTTGTAAATTGTGTTTGTACAAATACTTTAGGAGTTCTTCGGGTTGTTTCCTATCTTTTATAATTATTTTCAATGAAATTAACTCTTCGTATAATTCTGCTCCGTTTATGTCGCACGATTCGCCATCCTTGAATTTATTATGAAAGTCGAAGCAACTTTTTTTTATGTCGTCCTCTCCTATTTCAACAAATTTATATAAAAATCCGAAAGACTGTTCGAAATTGGATAATGTTTCAAATCGGGTAGTAACAGATGAAATGGCTGTATCCAATATTACATAGAAAAAATTAATTTTGAAATTTTCTTTAGCAGTTAACTGAATATCCTCATCTCCTTCATAGTCAAATTGTTTTCGCTTATGGCGTCGACGTAGATTAATTTCAACAGGAAATTCCGGTTGTATTTCAAGTGATTCACATAATTCATCAGCAATTTCCAAATACTTTTCGAAATTTTCATCATTTCTAATACTTTGGAAAAAAACTTATCTGTGTTATACCGAAAACCGTATACAAAAATACATCTTACGACCGAAGTTATAAGGAAAAATATCCGTCACCGACCCCCAGAATCATTTGACACTCGCTGGGAGCATCATATGATGCTAGCGGTCGTTGGCGGTATGTAAGCGCGCGCATCATATGATGCTTACGGCGTTTAGAAGGTGAAAACAAACCGATTGTATTTTTGCCCAGTAAACAACTTGTAACGATTTGGCCGCCTCTTAATTTCGGCCGCCTGCGTGCGGTGCACGCAATGAACGCCCGTCAGGCACGGCCCTGGGTGCAAGGCGATCACTGCAATCCTATTTTCTTTAACACCACATTCCATATTGTAATTTGATAATTAACACGAAAAAATATGTGAAATGGCGCAAAATCGAAAGAAGTTTTTAAAATAATACGTATTCCAAGTACAAAATAATTAAATAATTGAAAAAGAAAAGTTTTTATGTACCACTATTTGTGGCCAGACTAATTACATATACTTAAATGGTTTGATTCTCGTCTGATACAGTACTTGAGGCAATTTAATTGTTATTTCTATTAGTTTTTGTTCAAACATATAGAAATACACTTGTGGATATCCATCGGCCCACCTTTTTTCCTTAGTCTGAGCAGCCGCCAACCTAGCATTTTAATTTTTAACGGTCCCTAGCTAAAAATAAATGTTACATTAAAATTTTAGAATTACCTATATTATGATTGCTCAACCTTAAAATATATTTTTGCTATAGACCGTTGGAACTTATAACACTAAGTGGACCGATAGAATGTGTCCGGAAGTGTATTAAAATTATTGCATCAACTAATTCAGTGTGACATAAAAGATCGGAGAATCTATAATGTCACAGTAAATTGTTTTATGACTTACCCCTGCATTTTTTCCCGTTAACAGTAAACTCTACGCAATTATTGGACATTTTCACGCGCCACACCACTGTATAGAATGAATATCTACATTCCAACTGTATAGTAGACACTGGCAAACATTTATTATACTTATCGACCAGGCATTTGTATGTTCACGTGTGTTATTATACGACGAAACCGACGTCGTTACGATAATGAGTTCTTACATTACCGCGTATCTACTTAGTTGTCAGTGAGTATGTACTTAATTTTGTTGAGGAGCTCGATGCCACAAGTGGTTAGCGCGTTTGACCTGTTTTTTTTATACGCAGGCAAAAAATACTTGCCATGTTGCCGTGGCATGCTTACCGACGACGGCGCCTTTAAGAGGCACACCGCCGAACGGACCTCGCACCTGGCTCCCGCAAGCCTTACAAGCCCCAGCAGTGGCTATCCACTGAGGACCCCGTAACTCTTACGGGCGCTTTACGGCATAAAATACGCTAAAAAACCCTGCGAATACCCTCTACGCTGCTTAGCCCGAGGCCGCGGGATCCCCGTTTAGGGATTCTTCCGCGTCTTCGCACCTAGCAGCCTCCCGGACTAGCCCCCCGGCTAGGAGCCCCCTCCACGGCAGGGGTCTCCCGGGGTATCGCGGGGACCCTGCAGACGTGCGCAGGATGGCCCGCGCATGGGCGATGACTACGCGGCCTAGTGCCCACCGTACGGCCCCCCGTCCGCTGCGGAGGGCTGCTTGGGCGTGCCCGTGTAGCTCCCTCCGCCGCCCCCCTCTTTGCAGGACAGAAGTACAAGGGGGCTGCCGTCACGGGGTCCGTCGGTGTCCGGCACAGCTGACGCCATGCCGGTCAGCGAGGGACCCCCCGGGTAGGGTCTTGGGACGGGCGCAGCCAGGGCGCGCCGCCGTCCTCTCCTACCCGTCCTCCTTTGGCGGGAGGGAGCGGCCAGGGGATCATCCTCCCCCTCCCTCTCAGCCGCCTCCTTCTGATGATGATCAATGATGGCATTGCGGCGATTCATTCCGATAAATTGATATCAGTATTCCCAAACTGAGGATTTACCTCGCACTTCCAGCCGCGTTAGCCCACAGCGAACGGTCATATTCTAAACTAAAAATAATTAAAAACTATCTAAGATCAATATTGTCGCAAAGTACATTGACAAATTTATCGTTACAATTTTTATTATTTTAAAGCATGTAACTGCTTGATGTTTAAATCTAAAGAAAATATAACTAGAAAAAAATCCACGCGGACCAGGCAGCAGACGGGACTCGAACCCGCACCCTTCGCAATCCGGGCGAATGCACTGACCAATTATGCTACCGCAGCCCTCACGGACCGCGTCGAAATTCTTCTAGCCATTTTTAAGCTGCAAGGCAGCGCCATCTCTTCGCATTATAGGTAACCCACAATGTCAAATGAATACTTTTACAAGTATTAAACATTTGAAAGAAGAAATAGCAATTATAGTTACAATTTTTATTATTTTAAAGCATGTAACTGCTTGATGTTTAAATCTAAAGAAAATATAACTAGAAAAAAATCCACGCGGACCAGGCAGCAGACGGGACTCGAACCCGCACCCTTCGCAATCCGGGCGAATGCACTGACCAATTATGCTACCGCAGCCCTCACGGACCGCGTCGAAATTCTTCTAGCCATTTTTAAGCAACTTTAAAATTGTAACTATAATTGCTATTTCTTCTTTCAAATGTTTAATACTTGTAAAAGTATTCATTTGACATTGTGGGTTACCTATAATGCGAAGAGATGGCGCTGCCTTGCAGCTTAAAAATGGCTAGAAGAATTCCGACGCGGTCCGTGAGGGCTGCGGTAGCATAATTGGTCAGTGCATTCGCCCGGATTGCGAAGGGTGCGGGTTCGAGTCCCGTCTGCTGCCTGGTCCGCGTGGATTTTTTTCTAGTTATATTTTCTTTAAATTTATCGTTAATAAGTATTGAACATAAAATCAAAATTGAAGTCAGTGACATTGTTAAAGATTTCGCTAATGCAAAAGCACGAAAAGTATTTTTTTTTTGTAAAAACATATTTGTGTGGACGAGCGTCCTGTAAGATATTATAGTTTTAAATGAAAAGAACTTCAAAGTTGTGATTTTTTATTTTTGTAATTTGCACCCGATTTTTTTATAAAAATAAAACTGTAAGTCAACTGTAAGTATTCCACTTTGACCCCGCTCCTTCTAGGGGGCACCAGGGTACTAGTAGCACACGGGCGCCACAAGGGCTAGAGCCGCCTCTGGTAATAAATATGGCGGCCATGACACTATTGCTCTTTTCATCTGCCGTCACCTTTATAATAGGGGAGCCCAAGAGGGGATTTGGGAATTTACTTGAGCGCGGCAGATTAATATATGGGATGATACCTTACATCTAGTTGAGTACCTCTACCAAATCTGAGTTCTCTGAGTAAAAAAAAACGATAGGCGGAAATACTCAAGCGCGTCAGATTAAGGTATGATGGTTTAATTACATGCTGAAAAGTGTGTATTTCAATAATCTGACGATTTGAGCGTGACGTAAGGGAGTGGGAGGGTTGTGAAGTTGCAAAAAACGATGTCTGGATATTCTCGAGCGCGGTTGTTTTTTTTTTAATTTAAAGGTTATAATTCAAGGATCATGGAAAACATATAATCTGCCGATTTCGACAAGCCGAAGTAACAAAAATCGTTAATAAAGAGTTGCGCGTGCAGCTGCAGCGAAGCATGTATTTCATACTACGCGCCTCTCTCTATTTCGCTCTTTCTTTATCTTCCACTCTCTCGCACCGTCCCCACATCACTTTCTGTCACTAATTGGAATTACATTTGATTGTTTGTTCGACAAATACATTCCAATTAAGTGCAGATTTTACGTACTCGTGTAGAGTGCATAGTACGTAAAATCTACACTTAATTGGAACACGCTTTATTTCAATAAATATGTGTGGTATTTTATGATAAATTTTATCAACGCAAATATATTCTTGTATTATAAAATATTCGCTCTATTTCATGGTGGAGGTCATGAACAATACACAAATACAATGTTTTGTTGCATAGTTACTTATTTATGAATATTAAAAAAGGAATTTTCTGCAAATGTCCGGCTTTAGGCATCAAACTCGCTTTTGTCCGAGTATAGAGTACGCCATCTTATCTTCTGTAAGCTTACCAGAGATTGAAATGTAACACTTTTTTTATTTGTATTTTATTATATTTATCTTTTTTTTAAATATGAAACATGTCTGTGAATACGTGAATAAAATTTTTCGACAATTTTTTTGATTTTTTTACAATATTTGGCCTAATTTGACCCTGATTAGATTTATTTTTATTTGTATGCTATTTTTTATGAATTTTATTGATCACATTGATTGATTTGAAAAAGTTCACGGAGAAAAATTTCTTTAAACCGTCAGATTAAGAAAATCCCTCCGAATATTCGTCAGATTATGGATCAGCATGACCTGGGTATCAAGCTGAACCGCCTGTATGAAAATCTGAGGCGCTCGAGTATTTCCAGATGGCGATTTTATTTTGCATTTTCAAAAAGCCGTCACGAGCTTGCGTCTCGTCCGAATCGTCAGACTTTTGGATCTGAGCTTCGTTTAGGCTCAGTTAACATCCCCTCTGAATATCTGATGCGCGCAAGTATTTTTTTTTCCCCATTTTCAATCCATCCGTACGGGCTAGTCCCACCATGCAAACCGGCAGATTAACATTCTTCCGTCATCAGAGACACAAGGAGCATATACAATATCAATATCTGATGCGCTCGAATATTTCCATGTGACTATTTTTTTTACATTTTGAAAGCTTCTAGACGCTTGTTCCCCCGGTGAAAGGGTACGCATCATTTAACCTTTTTTTCTTTCTACCATCTGATCTTCAAAATCCAATAAGTCTCCACGACGCTCGAGTAAATCCCCATTTAGCATTGTGGTGTGTACTATTATATTATTATTATTAACGAGTTTATTTCTCCTCCCTGATCCCCTGCCGCACCTATCGTGTGACATATTAATCAATGAGGAATCAAGTTTCTATTTAGGTACATGCACATGCTTCATTTATTCTAATTGTAGCGATTTTTATGACCAATAAACATCGCAAAAGCTGACCACTTGTGCTGTTACCCTACTACTACGTGTTAGTTAAATCAGTATTACTAAAAAAGTCATCTATCTAAAAGTCACCATTAGATATAACATTATAAATAAAGTATGTAAAAATATAATTTGAGTTTGATTTTTCGCAGTAATTGGTAAAAGGAAATATTATTTAAGTATATAAAACTGGAGAGTATATATTTTGATTTTTAAATCTTTTCTAGGAAAAAAATCAAAAAAATGCAGTAAAATTTTCCTAAGTTATTATTTGTTAAAATTTGTAATTGTATGCGCATATTCATTTTTTCCGTAAGAACCTTCTATCTATACGATAAGAAAACTAAAAGCAAATTAATGAACTCAGTAAAGTCGTTCAGATATTATGGCTTTACCAATGCAAATAGTGATTCGTTTTTATTCAAATAGATTTATTTACTTGTGTTAGCTTCATTAGATTATGTTACCTTTACCGATATTATGATGTTTGTTCTACCAATAGAACTGACAACTGACGGGTAATAATCACATCAGGGGGCTTAGACAAAGTAACAATTTAAAAAAAAAAATATTATACATACAGACGAATTGAGAACCTCCTCCTTTTTTGAAGTCGGTTAAAAACGATAACGAAGTTCGAAATTAATAAAATGTATGAAACTGACATAAGCCTCGCTAAATCACGTGGTCAATCGTCATCGTCATCGAAAGTTGGTAGACAAAGTTACAATTCGTAACGAAACGTTAAAATAATGAATTGTTTGAACGCTTAATCCCATACAAATGCGTAGACAAGCTGCACTTTTGACGTTCGTCTTCGCTGCGATCGCGATCTTCGAAATCGTTAACGAAACGAATGCTAAGACGCTGTAGATAACACAACAACATGGCCGACTTTGTTCATCAGCTGTGATTTTGTTTAAGTTATATCAAATAATCGTAAATCAAAGTATTTAAAATGCATTCACTACGTTTACTGTGGGCAGCACATAATGAAACCATCTGGAAGAGACGCCAAATGCGTTTATGATTGAGACTTTAATTAGAAAAAATTGAAGATATGCCTGAGTTGTTGTTTATCCAACATCTCAGGCTTAATAAAATCACATTTAGGCGGTTATGTGACGACCTAAAAGGTCATGCTAGATTAAGTGGTTCCTCTGAAATTCCTCTGGAGATAAAGGTAAGAAATTTCACATTAACTTATTTAATTAAATTGTACTTGAAAAATAAGTCATTGCACTTTATAACCTATCTTCAAAGCATCTTGATTTTCTTAACTTCGTACAAACATTTGATAGTATATTTGATGGTATAATGTAGTTTTTAACTGCTGTACCTAAATTAAAATAAAACCTCGTAAGTACTAATTTAAAATAAATCACAATGCACTATTCTATTTCCAGGTGCTGTGTACTCTTAGCTTTTTAGCTACAGGGTCATACCAAAGGATTGTGGGTGTGGGTCAGTATTTGACACAACGAACTACAAGTCGTTGCATCAGAGAGGTTGTGAACGCCCTTAATCACAATTGGACAATCAACAGGTGGATAGTATTTCCACAAACACCACACGAGAGATCACTTATCAAAGAGAAGTACAAACATATTTTTATTTAAATAGGTTAAATAATTTATAACTTTCCTAAAGCTAACTTTTGTTGTAAAATTGGTAAATACGTACCTTATTTACAGATTTCAAAGGAAACATTGACAAAGCATTGACTGTACCCATATTGCTATAACCAAACCAAGCGAGGAAGAACACATATTTTTTAATAGAAAAGGATATCATTCCTTAAATGTGCAAATGGTAAGCAGCTAGATAATCTCTAATCATTTATATAAGAAAGAATGAAACTTGAATTAATGTTGTTTATAGTTTCCCTTTAATTCCCTATTTTTCTATTATTATTATATTATTTATTTCTATTTTTCACTTATTAATAAAATAATATTTGGCTTATTTTATAATGTGAAGAAAAATATTATATCAGATTAAGTATTTTAAAGTGGACCTAATTCTCTTATTTTTATTTGTTTTTCATACCAGATATGTGATTATGATTTAAAAATAATAAATGTTAACTCCAAATTTGGTGGAGCTACACATGAATCCCACATATGGTCTGCAAGCCACGTGGAGACATACATGCATGGGCTTCATGAAAATGGTGAACATGTTTGGTTATTAGGTAATACATTGTTTATTTATGCATAAAACTTTCCTGACCTTTAAAAACAACTCAAAAGGTGGATTTAATACTGAATTATTCTCTGCCTTAACCCGTGGTAAAAATTATATGCACATAAATTCATTTATAGATACAATATAAATATACATAATCTGGAAATTATTTATTTTTCAGGAGATTCTGGGTATCCACAGAGGCCCTGGTTAATGGCGCCTGTATTAAATGCTGAACCAGGATCCCAGGAAGACAGTTACACACGACGTCATGTCCAAGCCAGGTCTCGTATTGAACCCTGTTTTGGATTACTCAAGGCTCGTTGGAGGTGTATGC